TAAATGAAGAAAAATCTTCTTTATCGTACTTTACTTCCAAAGTTTCCAAATCAGCGACGATCTCTTTAAATACAGTCAGATGATCTTCCAATGATCCTCCTTCTGTCATTCAATGAGAATATAAACATTGTTTGAGATACAATTTGCTTGTGAGACTTTTAGTCATTGTGCTCCAATTTCGACCATAAAGCAGCTTCTGAACCCTCCTTCAAAACGTCCTGAAGAATGGTATTCGATAGATGAAGATGAATGTGAGAAACTGTTTTCTTGTCCTTCCTTAATTTCTCGTCCACGGTTAAAGTTGCGGATAAGAATTCCCAGCAATGCATCATTCAAATTCAGTCGTGCGAGTACTACAAGCATCATAACATGCCATAGCATAAATCTAGTGCTCCTATCTAAAAGTGGAATGTCATACTTTATAGAAGTCATCACGAACAAAAATATCGAACAAATCAAACATTGCACTCTGCGAAACTGCTGAACTTATGCTCTGATACCACTTGTTATGCTAATTATGCTCAGAATCTCTGATACCAATTATTGGGAATTCAAGGATCATGTATCGCTCGATTACACTTGATATGAAACCAATCATTAGATTGAGATGTTGAAGTTATATGGAAAAATAAGAAGTATATGATTACAAGCAAAATAATAAAAGAAGACAAGAAAATATGGAAGAGAAATTAGGAGATTTACTACACCACAAATAACGAAGATTGATGAATATTACAATGATCCAAAAAACTCGTAATCACTTTTCTTACACTATAAAATTGTATAAATGAATCTAATATTTATAGAGAACATATAGGGGGCGTCCAAACCCTCCTAGTAGAGTTGTTGATGAAGTAGAATTTCAAAAAATTAAGTTCAAAATGAAAATGGAAAGAATAAAGCAAAAGTCCCGGAGCAGACACAGGTGGGCGGCGAGGCACATTCGGACGCTCCGACGCTCGGGGCAAAATCTCAAACAAAAGCCTTCGTAGCGCCAGGCATTCTGCCAAAATTTCATTTTTTTCGTTCCAAGTTGTTTTCTTCATCTCGAACTTTTCTTCAAATCCAATACTAATTTTCAACTCCCAATGAGTTTTTCAAATATAACTTCAACTTGACAAGGACTCCAATAGCATTCAAACTTGAATTATTTTTTATGTGTATTTCAATTAGAATTTTTCAATTATTTCAATAAGAAATTCGGGTCACACCCAAATTATAACCAAAACCATAGTCATGATTTTGGGAGATTTTACATTCCTAAACAACTTCAAACACTCTATTATTTGTTAGACCTATTATATCAGGATTTAACTGTACTTTGGGCACTTTTTCATATTTGTAGATGATGAAAATTTTCTACAAATTAATATAAAGATAATAAGTTTTCATGAAAGGTAAAATCGATTTGCTAGAACGTGATTTGACAATTGAATTTCCAGCAGAGAAGGAAGATCCCGCGTAGCTGATTGAATCAAAAAAGGAAAGAAAAAGACAACGAAAAGAACATATAGGCACAATTTCTTATTATTTAAAAAATTGGATAGAGAGATCTCTTTCCATAATGATCTGCAAGGATATATTATGTGGTTTTGTCGTAAACACATACAGTACACCCACTTGCAATATCTTTCTTGATTCTCCATTTCTCGATCGTATCTAGAATCCTACAATAGCACATACAACAAGATAATTTGATTGCAATCCGCGTAGTTCCATTATATTAAAAAATGATAAAATCATGAGAGGTATACCAAAAATATTGGAAAGAGATAATTGAGGATAAGATATGGCCCTTCACGGAAAGGATTTTTAAATGGGAAAGATTTACTAAATTATTGAATTTTTGAAGGATTGGCCACATTTTAGCTCTATGTATAAACGTTATGAAACACTTTCAATAAGTTTAATGTATTTTATTTGATTGAAGATATATTATTTAATTGATTGAGTTATTATTCAAATAAATTAAATCAATAAAATCAGCATATACAATTCTTGGTAACTTATTAATCACAAGAAGTTGTGATTGCGAGAAATAAATTACATATGATTGAATTTTAAATTATATGTGGTCGTAAATAATAACGAGACACGAATATCGTTATTAACGTGTGCCAATTCTTATTTATGAATTAAGTGGCTAATTTTACAAGTTAAAATGTAGTGACATTTAAATGAATCCGTGTTTGTTTTGCTAAGAGAACAAGGCATTGGAGAGTCACTAAAATGATTCCACATGGATCACTATCCGAACATCAGTAATAATCTCTAACATTCAGTAGTGAAATTGGTCTATCAATTTACGGTCTTCATAGTGCCTTATATGAGGACAATCATACTTTGGTTATGCCAAATGTTGCTCTGCCAATATTTATCAATGCAGTATCGTTCAGGTATGTCAAGAATCATATAAATGGTGGATTTATAATTTTTAAATAGTAAGAGATTATGATATACGTTTCATTCAGTTTAATTGATAACCAAAGGACAAGGTGAGTTCATAAGTTGAAAGGAGTTTCAACTATTAATGATTTAAGAGTGAGATAAAAGATATGATCGATAATCGAGATTGACGTACTTTCATATCTCGTAATTGATCGGATTATCTTGGTGAATAGATTACAGTTTCACGGCAAACAAATAAGTTTGATTTTGTCACACCACGTGATATTTTAAGTCGCGTCTATTGTCTGGCACATTATTAAATGTCAACTTTAGACGATGAATGTGGATTAACTAATCTAGGTAAATTAATGATAAATTAAAAATGGAGTTTTAATTTATCTTATTTTGATTAAGCATTTGTTAGGTCCCCATTATTTTCAAAATACATTTTTCTTCTTATTTTCAACCACATATTTTTCAATAAAAGTGCGTTTGATTGCAAGCATGAAATTTGCATGTAAAAAAAATAAATTTTAAGTAATTCAATTGCCTAAAACCTATTTGTATGAAAATTATTAATTAAACGTGTTTGATTGATTGAGCTTTCAACTTAAAAAAAATATTATATTTTTTCATTTTTTATTGGTGGGTAGATGAGAGAGAAAGATAGAGTGAATTATCTGAAAAATAAAAATCACCTCTCCTTAAAAAAATATTTTCTTTGTTTTTGAAAAAATATGTTCACATGACCAAAAGTTGAAAAATATTTTTCAGAGAAAAAATTGTCAATCAAACACTCCAAAAATATGAATTTGGGTGGAAAAATGATATTTTCCGTGTAAAACAATGCCATCGAACACACTATAGATTAATATTACATGCAAATTAAAAACGTTTACTTATTTTTTAACCATAAATTCTCCATTGAATCACTATTCTAAAAAATGCATTTTGGCTAAAAAAAAAAATAGGGCTCAAACAAGCTCCAAATCAAAAAAAAATTCACGTCATTTGATATCGTTATAAAAAAAAACCTAATGAGTTATACATAAAATGAAGAATCAAAAGAATGATATTATTGATTAATTGAAAAGTGTTGGACATTTGCAAAATTTATTAATTAGATTGTTTATTAACGGGCCAAGCTTAATTAATTACATTAATTAAAATAGTGGCTAGATTATGTTTAATGGGGGAGTGAAGTCTATTTAAACCCCTATTAGTAAACGGTTAGGGTTTGAGAAAACATAGAACATCTCACAATATCATAATTTTGTTAGTACAAGAAAGAGCCCTAATAGTTCATTCTTGTTTTCCTATGTGAATTATTGTGAAGGATGGACAATTAAACAGCTGTGATGGTGAAAGATCGTGATTCACCAATGTGTACTTATTGGACCCCCAGGGCAATTTTGAAGATTTCCAACAATTATAATTTTCTTGAATCTTTGATTCACTAAGTTAATTAGATTTATTACTTTATTTTGAAATATAAAACTAAAAAATATGTTTTACGTATCGATATTTAAATAGCTTGTTGACTTTATCCATCAAAATTTCCAATAAATAGTCTTTTCTTCAATTGCTTGATAATTGTATTTTGTTTAAAAGTAATCATCCACGAGTAATGACTTCCACAAATTCTGACAGTTTTTTTCTCCATGAGTCACATTCATTATATTTTAATAAGAAACTTTCAAAGGAGAATATTATGAACTTGCTAACAATGAACTTCGAGTAATACTCTCAATGAGTCTTCATCTCTCACTTTCATGCGCGAAGCACCAAGTTTCATAAATGTTTAATTGTTTGTTTATTTCTACGAAATGATTTGAATATCAAAATGATGTGTATAGTTTTGGAATTAAATAGATATAAATTTTTCACATGACTATCAATTATAGTGTAACGCTTATATTTAAAAAACCCAAATTAATTTAAATGTTTTATTGTGATTTAGACTAATAAGTTCGACTTGTTTGAAATACCTTACTTTATTGTCACTATGTAAATCGTGTATTAAAATCAAATCAAACCGCAGAAAATGAGGGTTGATTTGATTTGAAAAGTGAAACGGTTTGATTAGATTTGAAAATTTTCAAACTATTTTAATTAATTTGGTTTCAAAAAAAATTTAAAACCCTCTCAAATTGAATCGTGTCAACCACTATTTACTTAAGTCAATTGAGTTATTATTGTACATGTTACCCAAAAATAATTACGATCTCAATTCTCATGTTTCCGATGAATTTATAGTCAAAAAATGAAACTTTTTCCTGGCAATGAATAAATGTCTAAACGAAAAGTCAAAGTTAACTTACTAATATTCTTCATTTGACTGGTTCAAAGTCCATGAATCTTGCTTTTTCTTCGGAAAATAAGCCCTTGTTTGGTACCCGTTATTTTCAAAATATATTTTTCTCTCTCTATTTTCAATAACACATTTTCCATAAAATTATATTACAAATAAACCCAAAATTTTTCCTTTTTTTCTAAGGACACATTCTTCGACAAAATATTATTCAAAAATGCATTTTGGACAAAAAAAAAAAAAATGGAGCTCAAGCAGGTGCTAAATATATCAAACAATTTTTAATGGAAAGGTGTTTGATTCAAGCTTTTCCTCTCAATAAGTGGGGTCTTAGCTTATTAACATCAGATTGTTGAACTGGCTTCAGAAAGAAGTCTTCTGCTCCTTTCTCTAAGCAACTGCTAATCCTCGATGGAACGTTTTCTGATGACATTATCACAACTGGGACGTCCTTTAGAGATGTCGATTCCTGCATATTACATAAATAATTCTCTATTATAGTTGCAGGACTCGACTAGATAAGACTTGATTATATAACGGACAAATTTGTCTATTCCGATGAAATTGAAAAACAATGAAAAGTATATGCAAATTGGTACCTTGATCTTTATCAATAGATCATAACCGGTAATTCCAGGCATACAGTAATCTGTAATAATCAAATTCACTTCTACTTCCTATAAAAATGAAACAAATATTTGAACATCAGACAAAAGTAATCAACCAGAATGAACTAAAATACAATAGAGTTTGAATCATACATGATGATTTCTTGAGTTTGAATCAATACTATCATCTTCAATCAACCCAAGAAATTCTAGAGCCTTTACTCCAGAATCCACTACAGTAACTGCACATAATAATTACATATAAATATCAAAATTAACTAGAAAAAAAAATATCGTAAGCTTAATGCAATAATCAGTATATATAAATATACCTCGATAAGAAGAAGTTTTGAGGAGTCTCTCAATCAACTTTCTGTCAATGAGGCTATCATCAACGGCTAATACATGGAACTGTGCTTCCGAGGCTGCTCCGCCCATTTTTTGTACCCTTTCTGATCAGTATAAATAAAAACTAAACAAAAACTGCTATGAATTGAACTAATGAATGCAGAAGGAAGAAGAGAGAGCAAGGTTTGTTTATATATTTGTGTTAAGAAGAGATATTGAAAGATATTGACAGTTGAGAAAGAGGGATCCCACCAGATATCAATCAGAATCTTCCTAATCTTCAATGTTGATTTTTGAATTTGAGAACAAGCAATGAACTACTATTCAAGAATTGAATTTTAATTGACCCGTTTATATAATAATATGTAGAATCATGCTACAAGTACATTAACTTTGACATTGTGCCACATGTCGGAGCATGATTAGACAGTTTTTAAACACCAAACACTTTCCCGTCCATTTGCATTTAAATTCACATGGAGTGTCAAACTCCATGTGAACTATGGAATGTACGCAAAGCAAAATTCTAATATGTATTATGACTCTTTGAGAAGGCTAAGGATGTAGCGTTGCCTCTTGACCTTTTGTTTGTGTTCGTTCCTGGTAATGCATCCGCACCTTCCCGTGCCTTTGCAAATTTTTAGTAATTATTATTTTATTTTTTTTAATATGTTCCAGATTAATTTGTCACACATTTCTCTTCCTTAAATTTTATAATCGGCCAATTTTAACTTACCAAATATATCCTTAGGTCTATTTTGAATGGTACATTTTGTTCATCTTTTTAACCTTTCCAAGAATATTTTTTGGGATTCTTTCAAACTAAACATTTTGCTAATTGTATTATGTGATGGTATTATCTCCATAAATTAAAAAAGAAAACAATGATACAGTATCTCAGAAATTCTAGAAAAATCACTTCGTATAAGTTGCTTTAAATAAACAAAGAAAAGCTCACATATAATAGTAAGAAAAATCGAATTACAAAATAGGAGGACAGATAGGTTTTTACAATTTCAATGTCGGTGTTAAAAAAAAATAGTATTCTACAATTTAACAAATCAAGCAATTATTTCTAATAATATTATATTTACAGAATTCTGGAAATTGGCGAGTGCAACCCTTTTTTTTCTTCATTCAAATACACTAGTCAAAAAATAAAATAAAATAAAAATCATTTGGATCGCTTAATACCTTTCCGCCATGTTAAACATTTTATATTTCTTAATAATGTTAAGTCCTATCTAATTCTATGTATCAATTACCTAGAATAAGTAAACAAATTGTCAAATACAGATGGCCAATGGGCAAGAAATGTTCCAAATATCAATTTATAATGACTGCATTCCATCTACAATGTTGTATTAAGGATTAGTTGAGATTCTTGTATCATTTTGCCAATCGTGCTATTATGTAACAACTAATCAAAGTTACAAGTGTTGAGGTCTCAACTGTAAATGTTATGCCCTAGGTCCAATCGACTCTGGACATAAACACTTTGAATATATATAATGCATATATATGGCAATATCTATTATTTAATTGAATTAATATTGTAATAAATTAAATAATAGAATCCGTAGATTCAAATCTTGGTGATTTGTTAATCACAAGGAGTTGTGATTGTGAGATACAAATTACATATGACTGAATCTTAAATCGTCCGTGGTCGAGGTAATAACGAGATACGGATAT